ATGGGTCCAGATGATGAAGATGTCATCAGTGTAGCATAGGTAGAGAAGGGGCGTGAGTGGACGAGAGCTGAGGAAGCGTTGTTCCAGTTCTAGCTGAAGAACAGGACCTTTGAAAGGATGTCTGGTCTCCACAGAACCTGGAGTGGGAGTTCCAGGTTCAGCTCTATCAGGTCTGAGAACCAAGGTCTCCTTGGCCAATGAGGAGTTATAAGAATTACTGTCTCCTGCTCTCGTTTTATTTTCTGAATCACCTTCCTCAGTAGCAGAAAAGGTGGAAACGAATCAAGTAGGCCCTATGGCCAACTGTGCGATCAGGCATCTGTGCCCATGACTCCGGGGTCTGCTTCACTTGTGAAGTATTTTGGCTTCTTTGCATTTGTATGATTCACAAATGGGAAGGGAGGCAGAACGTCTGAATGGTGAGTCCTGATTCAGGCATCATTTAGAGTTTTTGACCCTGCGCCTGGTGAGACCATCTGCCCTTTTGTGGTTCAGGTCCACTTTGATGTGGATCACCCTGAGGAAACGGCAGAACTGTTCCATCCACCTCACTATTTCCATTGCTTCCACACTTAGTGCTGGACGCCTTGTTCCCCATTGGCTGTTTAAATACGCAAACGTAGTCATGTTGTCGGATTGAACCAGGACATGGTTCCCCCTTAGAGTGAGCTGGAACCTTTGCAGAGCTAGCTGGACAGCTCTCAGCTCTAGGAGGTTTATGCAGTTTTGCCTTTTTCTCCTAGCTCCAGAGGCCCTGTGCTGTTTGGGTCTTCAAGTGAGCTCCCCAGCCCTCCAAGCTGGCCTTGGTTGCGAGGATTAAAGGATCTGGAAGGCAGATGGACATACCTTTGCAGGCATTATCATGGGCTGACCACCATTGTAAGGTGTTAAATACCTATGTTGGAACCCCTACTTGATCTTTCATGTGTTCCAGGGAATGGTCCCACACCTTTAGTATGAAGGCTTGAAGACGTCTGATGAGCGATTGTGCCCATGGAGTGATGCCTATGCACAGTACCATGAGTCCTAGCACAGCACAGTGCTATGGTAGGCCTGCTGCATCTCTGGAGCAAGATAATACATTTCTGGATTTTCTGAAACCTTTCTAATGATGGGTAGACCTTTGCTATCAAGGTGTCTATTTCTGCCCCCAGGTGGTTATTCTGTTGGATGGAACCAGAGACCTTTTCTTGGCACTGATGATGAAGCCGTGCCCCTGGAGGAGATTCAACATCCAAGATGTGGTCCTCTCCACCGCTGGAGTTCTGATTGGGATGTTGTCGAGAATAGAGTACAGGTGAGTTCTTTGCAACCTGAGTCTGGCTATTACCACCATCTGTGTAAAACCCTGGGGGCCAAAGACAGGCCAACCAGGAGCATTCAGTACTCATAACGTTTCCTGCTGTAGGTGAACCTCAGAAGTCTGTGGTGGCATGATCGGATGGGGATATGGAGATATGCGTCTGCAAGAGGTACTGAAGTCAAGAAGTCCCTCTGGACAGGGAGGACACTGTACAGGCCAGGGTCTCCATCAGAAACATTGTTTTCTTCATCCACTTGTTCAGCCTTTTGAGGTTGAGAATGGCTCTGATACCCACCATGTGCTTCTGCACAATGAAGAAGATGGAGTACAACCCGGCAAATCTTTTTCTGAGGGAACAGTCTTGGTCATGCCAATATCCAGAAGATGAAATATTTCATTCTGGATCAAATTGTTTTTTACAGGGTTGTTGAAACTAAGTGACTGGATGAAGAATGGATGGGGTAGAGGCCACAGTTCGAGGGACTATCCCTGACTCACTATCACCCTGATTAACTTCTCTGTGGTTAAAGAAAAACATTCTTCTAGAAAGTGGGGAATTCTGCCCCCTCGCTTCTCCCCTCGCTTGTCATAAATTGGATTTTAGGGGAGCTGAGGTCCCTCTGGACTTTCCCCATGGATTTTGACCCTACTGTTTTCCCTTGGGGAACCTGCTGTCCCTTCACAGGTATCTCTGTGAGGACAAGTAGCGAAAGGCCAGACTTCCACCTTAATTTAATTGACTCGTTAGCACTGACCCCCCATTTGGTAAGGCAACTCCCATCTTTTCATATGCTGTGTATTTATACCGTTCTACTGTATTTTCCACTCCATGCATCTGATGAAGTAGGTTTTAGCCCATGAAAGCTTATGCCCAAATAAATTTGTTAGTCTCTAAGATGCCACAAGGACTCCTCGTTGTTTTTGCTGATACAGACTAACACGGCTACCACTCTGAAACCTGTTGCTAGAGAGACATTCATCAAAATGGAGCCAAAGTCAGGGTGATCTCTCTCCTTAAGGGCTTTGTGATCTCCCAGCCAGGAGAGATGCTCTTGCAACGCAGGCAGCTGCTCCCAGGGATGGTCGGAAAGTGGCAGAGGAGGTTTCAAAGCCTTGTTTGAGAATGACCTCCAACCGTATCCTTGGGGAGGGACGCTACAGCAGCGTCAGCCTTTGGTATCTCAGCATTGGAGCCCTTTGGGTCTGGAATGTTATGGACCCTGACATTGCTCTTGTTAACATGCTGGCCCTTACCTAGCTTATCCCACTCACCCTACTCACCTCCTGGAAGGAGGAATGAAGGGGTATCACCGCCACTGGGAAGGGTTTTGAGGGAAGACATTGACTCCAAGGCACACTCTCAGGAGCCTGCTGAGGTTGTGTTTGAATCATGCGGATAACCTTGCTGCACATGGCTTGACATTTCTCTAGGAGAAAAAGCCTTTGCTGAGTTTCTCCCCCAGCCTGTTTGGAGTCAGCACCAGACAGCTTGTCTTCGGGGGGGGGGGGGGGGGGGGGGGAATTGGAGGACTCAGTCCTACTGGATTCTGTCCGGGTGCTTTCCCCTTTCAGATTTTTTCATCTTTTTTGCAAACTTTGGGAGCATAGAAACTGCTGCGGCTTTGGGGAGGCCACCTATGGCTTGTCTTCCTTAGGGCCTGGAGCTCCCTCAAGAGGTCTGGCTCTGAAACCTCCCCCATTGGGTCCCACTCCCCCTAGATGGGGGGCTGGGGAACTAGTCAGGGCCCACCTGGACAGCTCGGGAGGGAGGGGGCTGATTAGAAGCCCTGCTTCTTTCCCCAGGGTGCACATGACCCACTTTACGACTTGCAGGGAGACAGAGGACACTTGTGGCCCTGCAATCCTCCCCTCTTAGTTCTCCAGGAGGCCCCTGGGACTTATCCCCTTAGTCAAGTGGTCAGGGTTCTCCTTGCTTCTGGAGCCTCTCCCTGTTCTGCACTGGGGTTCCTGGTCCATTTTCCCCCGTTGGACTCGCAGCTGCCTTGGTGGGTAGGGACCCCACTTGCCTGCCCGAATTGTAGCCCCTGGACCTAACAGAATTGGGTGCAGGCGGGGCACAACTCATCGTCTGCCAAGCCTGGGAAGACTGCCTCGCAAATTGAGCACTGCTTGGATTTGACTCAGTGCTCTCTTGGCTGCTTGTCTGTGCCTGTAAGGGACAGAGGAGCAAGCAGGGAAACACTGCAGCCGAGGGTCAGGAAGGGTTAACCACCCACGTAGGAGGAATGCCCAGGAGGGAGAACCCTGCTCCCCACTGCCCAAAGAACAAGGCAGAAAAGTTAAAATAGAAGAAGGAGTAAGGGCAGGAGCAAAAGGAACAGTCACTGTCTGCTGCCACAGAGGCAGAGAATGCGGCAGCAAGTGGGAACATGGGGGGCATGACCAGAACGTCTGGCACCAAAATGCTGATCCACCTCTATGCGCTGCAGAGAGATGAGAGCGGCCAAGATGTCCAGAGCTGGGGGAGATGCTGGACTGCAGAACAGAGCTCCACAGCACCCAGTCACTGTGCTAGAACCACAGTGCCACAGGGAGGGGAGCAGAGCCTGAGCACTCAGCGTTCACTACGCAGAAGGGCTTGGGCAGGGCATGCCCACAGGTACTGGGATCCAAGTGGTGAGTGACTGAGCCGAGCACAGCGTGCTCTGAGAGATGTTCTGGGAAGCTAATTAGCAGCACATACCTGTGCATAAGGAGAGGTGCCCAGAGCCATGCACGAGCACATGCCACCTGGCCACTGCATCTCCAGCACACCTTCCCTCTGCAGCACTAGGAGACAATACCTAGCACTGCCAGGCAGAGCTCAGTGAACACCCCCACACTAAGGGGACCCACACCAGATGCAGCCTACAGGGCCTTACTAGACACCAGCACGGGGGAGGCTGTTCCCTGTCCCTGGCTCTGAGCTTCACTAACGTGCAAGTGGCCAGCTACCCAAGGCCATCTCCACATATCAGGCAATGACCCATAGGTTGAGTGCCCACCCTGCTGTGGCACTAGGAGACCACTGTGGACTCTCAGCTGTAACGAGAGCAGTGCTCAGCCAGCTGGGGCAGAAAGCAGCAACACAGGCATCCTGAAGACCAACAGAGCCAACCCCAGGCCAGCTTGCAGCAGGGCCAGACCCTTTCCCCTGGGCAGGGACTCCTGTCTCAGCAGTGGTGGGAAGCTCCAGCCTGCTCCCAAGATGCGTGCCTGCCCAGAGGGACCAGCAGTCTGGGCAGGGCAGGTGCTCAGAGCTGCTCTGTGCTGGCAGAGTGGGGACTCCAGCTGCTTCCTGGCACGCCCCCCCCCCTTCCCCCTTGCAGCATAGTGCTGTGGCACAGCCTTACTGCCGGGAGCAAAGAGGACAGCGCAGCCTTTCCCTTCTCCAATGGGCACCACAGCACCTGGGCTGTGAGCCATCCTCAGCTGGGCCACCTGGAGCTCCAGCCAGAGGACACCATGACTGCCCTGTCCCTCCTATGACTAGGGGGGATTATCTGTCATTTTTATGAAGCCTATGCATGCCTCAGTTTCCCTCTTATTTTGCAAGTCTACCCAGTGTGGATGTGGGATGGGGCAGGGGACTGTTCGCTCTCGGGGCAGGCTGAAGGAATGGTATGAATGGCACCTAGCTGTCTGAGCTGGGATGCTTCACTTGGAAAAAAATGGCTTGAGGCCGACCCCGTATCAAGGGCAAATCTCAGAAGACAAATGGCAAAGCCAGTCCCCCAGGACATGGACCCCTATTGACCAGCAGCCTGGAGGAAGCTGGATTCCCCTCCTCAGGCCCCAGCCTGAGCACAAAGGCTGGGAGGTGTGAGGTGGGGGGATAGGAGCTGGCTGCTGGAAGGAATTGGGGCGCTTGCCTGGGAACTGATCAAGAAGTCAGAGACACAGAGCCTGAACCATGGGATTCATGACAGCATGGCTGGGCCCTGGCTACCTAGATGGGACTTGGGCTGGGCGTTACCCGTCAGCTCCCTGGGCTCCCCTCAGACTCCCTGATTCTGTAGTCAGGTGACTAGTAAATGGTCGCCTGGCTAGGAACAGACTGCAGGTGTTGTTGCAGATACTCTGAGCACTGTGCCCTGGAGGGGACAGTACAAGCCTCCGGTAGGGGTCTGGTTAGGCTGGACTCGCTGCAGGGAGCCACCCAGAGAACCAGAGATCGCTGGTGCTGATGGCCCAGGCATGGAGGCCATGGGCCTGTCCCAGTGGAACTATGTGGGGCCTGGCACACTAGAGGGGACACTCCCAGGAGACTGGTGAGAGGCCAGGGGGCATAGACCAGGCCCTGTGACTCCATGACACCTCCACCCTGCCAGGGACCAACAGGCACTGCTGAGACATGCCTTTAGTGCCCTGGGAGCTGCCACCTCTCTGTCATCCCTCCATTTTGCTTCATTCCCCTGGTACTGAGAGAAGACTGGAGGGGCTGTGGACATGGCCGTGGGGGTGGGCCTCGATCCTGGGGTAGGACAGGGCAGCTGGCAAAGACTCTCTCTCCTCTCTTGCCAGAAGGTGCCTGGGAAAAGCAGACTCTGAGGGGGAGCTCTGTGCCGGGACCCAGGTGCACCCACATTGCTCCCTGGCACCGAGCTCTGCCTCGGCTCACTGTCCTGCCCTGAGGTGTGCACACAGTGCCCATGGAGGAGCAGCATCCTTCGTGGCCCATCCCCTGCTGGCTACAGGCTGCCGTGGGAATCTCTCCCTGCCAAGTTGAGTCTCTTACACAAATGGGGAGAAGACCCAGCTGGAAAACCCAACCCCATGTTGCTTCCCAGGGCGGGGGAGGGCCTGGCCCCAGGGGGCCAGTCTGCCTCTGAGGAGGACCGAGCTCCAGTGCCCAGAGCTGGCCCAGCCAGATGCCCCAAGGGGACACCCCCATGGCCCTCGCCTGGTGGGGTGCAGACACTTACAGGTGTGCAGGGAGAAATGTCTCTTGTCTGCAGAGGGAGGCGTGGCTGCCAGTGCTGATGGCTCTGCATGGCCCAGCAGGTACTGGATGGAGCAGAGCTGGAAGCAGGGGTCTGCCAGGAGCACAGCTGTCGCACGCTTGGCCCTGCAAATAAACACACAAGATCAGGCCTCTATGCTCCATGGAGAGCAAGGGCAGGGCGCTGGGAATCGAATCACAGCAGCCAGCTGCTTCTTAGACTCCAGGGAAGAGCTGAGCTGACCTGGAGCCCTGCACCACAGGTCATTAGCCAGGGCTGACCCTCCCACCAATACCAGTGGGGCACTGGGACCAGACTTCTGCTGGGCGAGGACTATGTGACAGCACGGGTTTGCCCTGGCATTGAGGCCAGCACCTCCAGAACCCCAGAGTAACCGACAGCCTGGCTGATCCTGCCAGGTGCTTGACCACCTTGGGCCAGGGCACTGCCAGCAGCAGAGCTCTCAGTTCCAGGAGCTGACAGCTGCGGCAGCGCCTCATGCAACCCATAGGTCAGGGAGCCAGGCAGGAGAGGGCAGCCTGTGAAGGACTAGCCAAATCACCCCAGCACACTAGATAAAGGCTCCCTGCTCAGGCAGAAAGGGCTGCGGGCTCTTTGGAAGGACCCAATCGAGTGCTGGCTGGAGGAAAGAGTAACTGCAGATAAGGAATCAGGTCCCTTGAAGCCCACCAGGGGCAGCCCTGCCCCATTGCATGTGGCTGAGCCCCAGATCTGTTGGCTCCAGTCCCTGCTTCACACTGACTCTAATAGAGGCCAGGGCAGTGCAAGGTGCTAAGCTCCCAGGGCCCAGTGAACAGCCTGGGGAGCAGAAGGTGTTCCGCGGGTAGAAGGGGCAGTTACTTACCTGTAACTGGAAGTTCTTCGAGATGGGTGGTTCCTGTCTGTACTCCACTGAGGGCAACATGCATGCGCTGTGCACCCACAGCCAGAGCTTTTCAAAGTAGTACCGTCTGTCAGACTGCATTGTGTTGTCCCGGGGGTTCGCCCACAGAGTGGGGTGAACCAACCACATCTCCAGTTCCTTCTCCACTGCAGATCTACAGATTCGCAGCGGAGGGGAAGGAGGGTGGATTTGGAATACAGGTAGGGACCACACATCTTGAAAAACCTCCAGTTACAGGTAAGTAACCTCCCCTTCGAGTGTTGGTCCCTATTGTATTCCACTGAGGGGGGAGTAACAAGCAGTATGCAGGTAGGAGGAAGGTGTGAGGAAGAAGACGAAACTGTGGAACGGAGGGCTGCCGCACCGAACGAGGCGTCCGTCACAGAATCATGCACTAGAGCATAGTAAGAAGAAAAGGTTGGAACCAAACTCCATGTGGCCGCCTTACAGGTATCTGTGAGGGGGAACATCATGGAGTGCAGCAGCAGCTCTCGTGGAATGGGCCTCTATCCTGCCTGCTGGGGACTGTCCTGAAAATTGATAGAGCGTAATGCATCCTGAGACCCACTTGGAGAGTCTCTGGGGTGAGACGGCCTGCTCTTTAATTCTCTGCTATGGCAACAAATAGTCTGAGAGACTTCCAGATGGCTTTGTCCTTTGCCGGTAAATGGTCAGGGCCCTACGTACATCGAGGAAGTGGAGTCGTCCTTCTGCACTGGAGGCGTGTGGTTTGGGGAAGAAAACGGGCAGGTGTATGGGTTGGTTGAGATGGAAACAGGAAACCATCTTTGGTAGGAACTTCAGATGCAAGTGCAGGGAGACATTGTCCTTCTGGAATGTGGCCACCATAGCCCCCAGTTCACCACCCTCCTCGCTAAAGTCATGGAGACAAGGAAAGCGACCTTCATGGAGAGGTGAGACAGAGAGCAGGAAGCCAGAGGTTCAAAGGGAGAGTTCTTTAACAGGTTGAGATCTCACTAGGGAGCAATAGGCTGAATGGGCAGGTATTTACATAAAAGGCCATTTCAGATTGAGCAGTCAAGGGATAGGTAAATATCGAATGCCCCTCCACTGGCGGGTGGAAGGCGCTAATGGCTGCTCCACTCACCCTGCTGGAATTGAGAGCGAGTCCCAAGATCTTTAAATAGAGGAAATAGTCTAAGAGCATCAGGATGCCCACAGCTTCGGGGGCAAGACCTTGTTCTTGTGCCCTGGAAGTGAAATGTGCCCATTTAGCCTGATAGGAGTATCTCAGAGTCCTTCTGGCTTCTGGAGAGGAAGTCTTACTAGCAACGAACATTCTTGTATTAACAGAGGTGTCTATCCAAAAACCAAGCTGTCACGTGGAAGTCCACGGATTGGGGTGCCTGAGTCTGCCACTGTATTGTGCTAGCAGTTCCAGAAACACCTGGACCAGGAGTGGAGGATGTTTCGACATGCAGAGAAGACCAAATTTACAAGGCCAGAATGGAGCAATCAGAATGACTGTCACTCTCTCCCGGTGGAGTTTGTGGAGGATGCAGGGTAAGAGTGGGAAGGGGGAAATGGCATAGTTCAGCTGGTCTGACCAATCAACGACCGGACTGTTTCCCAGTGAGTAGGCACCAAGTCGCCTTCTTGAGCAATATTGGGTGCACTTGGTGTTGGTGTGGGATGCAAAGAGGTCCCTGATTGGCATCTCCCGAAGATGTCCGTAATTACCATGTCATGCAACTCCCATTCATGGCTGGTTGCAAAGTTCCTGCTGAGAGCATCAGCAATCACATTCTGGGTGCCAGGCAGGTAGGCTGCCAACAAAAGGATATGGTGTGCGATAGTACACCTATGGAAATGGTGTACCATTTACATACACAGCATTGGGGGATCTTGTGCCCCCTTGTTTATGTAGTATACTGTGGTGGTGTTGTCCAACATGACGAGGACATAATGATAACAGATAGCTGGTGAGAACACATGGCATACTTTGCGCACCGCCCAAAGTTCCAGTATGTTTATGTGCATCCTGGGCCTCTTGCATGGTCCAGGTGCCTTGTGTCATGTGATCTCCCATGTGAGCACCCCCGCTTGTGAGGATAGAAAGGAGGACATCCCAGAGCAGACTTGTAGTGGATCTGTCCACCAACAAAGTGAAGAGATGACCTCCCGTGGAAAGCTGAGTATGATGGCCATGATTTGGTGCATAGGGGAGTAGACTTTTTGCAGCCATAGTTGTAGACAGCAAAGGCACAGACGTATGTGCATGCCTCCATGTGCCCTAGGTAGGAAAGGCAGGTCCTGGCTGAGACTGAAGGGTTGTCAGTCATTAGGGCAATCTGGTCCAGTAGGCTCTGGAACCTGTCCCTTGGCAGATAAGCACATGTGGAGGCGACGTTGATGCATGCTCCTATGAATTCCAGGGACTGTGTACGGTGCAAAATTGATTTTTCAATATTGACGCTCACTCCTAGAGAGGAGAGGAGTAGAAGAAGCCGGGAAGTCAATTTTCAAGCTTCCTCTTTGGACTGCGCTGCCAGCAATCAGTCGTCCAGGTAGGGGAAGACAAGGACTCCTTGATTTCGGTCTTGATGCAGCAGATGAGCTGCTACCACAGAGAAAATCTTTGTGAAGACTTGTGGGGCAGTGGTAAGTCCAAACAGGAGTGTCACGGAGTCACCGGGGTGATGCTCTGGAACTACTCCATATGAAACTAGCCAGGACTCTGGGGAAGCATGCCTCCTCTCTCTGAGCATACTGTCTCCAGGGCAAGAAGGTTACACAGCTTGGATCTTCCTGGGTCTGACCTCGGAGCATTCAGCATCCCCTTCCACACCGTGCACTTCCTGCAGCTAGTCCACCCGGGCAAGGCTCCCTGGGAAGCCAGAGGGCCCTGCACGCCAACTCCGCAGTCAGACATGACTCTCAGACAGCCGGTAAAACAGAAGGTTCATTAGTCGACAGGAACATAGCGTAGGACAGAACTTGTTAGCACAGAAATCAGTGACTTTCAGCCAAGTCCATCTTGGGGGAGGGGAGCCCAGAGCCAGGGCTCTGACCATCCCCCAAGCCAACCGAGACTGACTCATTTCCAGCTGCCTGGCCCCTGCCCTGCCTGTTGCTCCTCCTCTAGCCTTTGTCTCACTTCCTGGGTCAAAAGTCACCCGGTCACATCCCCCTCCTGGGTCTCAGGTTATGAAGGGGCAGCCATGGCATCCAGGCAGGCAGCTGGAGCAGCCCCCACAAAAGTCACACATCCTTATTCCCACCACCTAGACATTGGTGCAATACACAGGGAAACTGAGGCACACACCACATTCATGCAAAACAGTAAGACTCACACAGGCTCACATACAACATAGCAAGGGAAAATTCCCACTATGCCACAAGGAGTACCCTGTATTGGAAGTGTCAAGGCCCCACCTTGAACCTCAGGAACCGTCTGTGGGTCGTGTATATGTCAATATGGAAGTAGCCATCCTGCTTATCAAAAGCCTTTTTCTGGTGGGGGAATGATGGCTGCAAGTGTGACCATGTGGAATTTTGGCTTCTGAATGGAATGGTTGAGGTGGCGGAGATCCAAGATCTCCATCCCCCATTCTTTTTGGGTACCAGGAAATAGTTGGAGTAGAATCCTGTGCCGTGGAGGGGTGTAGGGACTGGCTCCACTGCTCCTCTCTGCAGGAGGGAGTCCATCTCTAGGGTAAGAATGCTATTGTGAGAGTAATTCCTGAGACGGGATTGAGACATGGGATGTGGAGGAGGCATCATCATGAACTTAATGGTAGAACCATGTCAAATGACATCCAGGCCCCCCTGGTCCGTTATCACTCTCCTTGCAGGCAGAATTGGAGACAACCCCCAAAAAGGGGTGGTTGGCAAAAGCATTGGTGTACAGAGTGGTTGATGGTTCTCTAGTCGCACTCAGAAATATCACTTTCGTGATGACCGAGTGTGTTGTGCAGAGGTCTGCATTGTCAGAACAGACAGACAGATTCTGTGGGCCTTAGGCCATTTCTAAGGAGGTTCGTAGGTTGGAGAAGTGAGGGGTTCTGTAGTGCTGTGTAGGTGGCAGGCAATAACATTTTTGCTTTGGTGCCAGTGTATATATGCCTAAGGATTGTAAGGTGGCTCTAGTGTCTTTTCAGTGAGTATAAGGAATCATCCATCCATCATCCAAGAGAGGTGATTCGTCAAAGAGGAAGTCCTCGATTATATTCTGTACCTCTCTAGGGAAACCAGAGGAATGTAACCACGATTCCCTCCTCATGAGGATTCCAGTCACCAATACTTGCGAGGACATGTCCGCTGAATCAGCTACAGCCTGGACTATGGATCTGGTGACCAACTTGCCTTCCTGTAAAACTGCTTGGAATCAGGAATGATCCTGCTGAGGTAACTTATCTTACCTCCGTCCATAGTTAATGAAGTCATATTTGGCCATCAGTGCCAGTAGTCAGAGATCTGGAACTGTAGTCCAGCTGAGATGAGCTTTCGACCCATAAGGGCCAGTCTCTTGCCCTCCCTGTCTGCTAGGGTGGAGCATGAGTGTTGCTGCTTGTCCCATTCCGATAGGGCCTGGATCACCAAGGAGTTAGGTGGAGGGTGTGAAATCAAAAATTCAAATCCCTTGGGAGGGAGAGGGGGAGTAGTATCTTTTCTCAGCCCCCTTCGGAGCGGGGATGCATGTGGCCAGGATATGCCACACTGTGCATGCCGGTTAAAGAATGGCATCATTGATCTGGAAGGCCACCCTTCCTGGTACCAATGCATGCAGAATGTCTCGTAACTGGTACTGGCTGTCCTGCACCTCTTCTAGTGTGATCTCAAGAGCACTGGCTATACTCTGTAGTCGCTCTTGAAATGGATTATAGTCATCTGGCATCTGGGGATGGCAAAGAAATCTCTCCGGATCAGTCAGTGCCGGGCTCATCAGTGCATCGTCTAACCCAGGTTCCGAATGCCTACTCAAAGGTTGGGGAGGTGAAAGAGGAGCATCCCCCCATGCTGAATGGGATGGTTCTGATGCCATGAGCTCCAATATAGCCAACCTGGTTGATCCTGCTGCTATTGTGTTGGTGCCCAACGAGCCGGGTACCAGTGGCTCCTGGGGTATGAAAGGAGGGAACTGCCACAGTGCCGCCAACACCCTCCAATAGTCAGGTCTCTGGAATGGAAGTGGTGGACCATGCTGAACATCCAAATCCTGAGACTCAGAGGAACCGGACTCTTGTACAAACAGTGGTGCCGACGGAGCTATCAGAACAGGATGTGTTAAAGGGGTACAGCCAGCAGGTGATAGATCTAATGTGGGAGATAGGGCCCTCTGAGCAGGTGAGTCCACCAGAACACGCAGAGACCTCACTCTTTCCAGGGCAAACAGATCATGAGGCCCAGGAGCACTTTTGAGTCTTCACGGAGTTAATGGTACCCAGTCTATGAATGGAACTGGGACTGGTAAAGGGGTCTGTCTCAGAACCGATGATTCATGGGGCACTGGCAGAGCTGAAGCAGGAGGGGCACATCGGTCCAGCAGATGGTGCAGATCCGGGAAATGGTGCAGCCTCATGTCAGTCTTGTGAGCCTTAAACGCATCACTCCTCCATGGCTGGAATTAGTGGACAGTGCAGAGTCTTCCTTGGATTTGGAGAAAGACTTACTGCCATGCATATGCACATACTTCTGAGGCTCATGGCTAGGTCCTGGCACAGGGTCTGTAGCACTGGTACCAGTGGAGCTCCACGGTAGAGGGAGTGCTCAGATTGTTCAGGCCGATGTACAGGGGAGTTTGCCAGCCAGAGACTGACTGTGGCCCCCTGGAGACCTCCATGAGGTGCTTCTTGAGGTGAAGGGCTCAGCCTTCCCACATAAGGGCAGGGAAGGAGAGGCAGATACTGCACCTGGATGTGGGTTGGGCATCCGCCAAGCAGTACAGGCAGCGTTGGTGCTCATTGCTGATGGAAAATGAGCGAGGCAAGGAAGCACAGACTGAATCCCAGCATCTTTGGCATAATCCAGTTCCCAGATCTAAGTGCTGGGGGTGGGGAGAATTGTTTGGCAGGAAACCCCCACAGCTGTGTCCCAAATCTAGGATGACTAGACGTCCCGTTTTTAAAGGGACAGTCCCATATTTAAATCCTCCTGCAGGTGTCCTGACTTTTTCTTAAAAACAAGCAAATTGTCCCGTATTTTCTGTCTCCTTCCCTCCTCCCCCCCCCCCCAAAATCACTACCAGCCAATCCTGATGCTGGCTGGATCCCTGCTCACCAGTTACCCACCCACCAGCAGTGAGTGGGGGGATCCAGTGACCAACGAGGGGGGTGGGTGTGCGAGGCTGGTAATGGGGCAAAGGTGCAGCACACAGGGCCAGCCACTCCCCCTGCTGGTCAGTCAGCGCAGCCCCTCGCTGCATGCCAGCTCTCGGCCAGCAGGGCCCTGCCCCCCATCCCATTTCCAGATGGAACTGGCTGCGTGCTGCAGCAGCTGGTGAGTGTGGGAAGGTGCCAGGCAGTGGCTAGTTATGTGTCGCCTCTGCTGCCCACCCATCAGCCCTTTACATGCTCCCCCTCTCACTGTCCTCTCCCTGCTTTGCCCCTTCGCCCCCCCAAGCCCTGCTGCTCTGTCATATCCCCCCCAGCAGGGCACATCCCACTCCCAGCGCTATGCTGAGAACCAGCCCCTTGTCTGAGTGCTCAGCTCACTGACAGCCTGGCCGGCAGGCTCCTTTCTTCCCCCACTGCCTCTGGCTGGGCCAGCACCCTGGGAAAGCCCAAGACCCTCCAGCCCGGGGTGCTGGCCAGGAGGAGCCATGTCCTGCATGTACCAAAGCTCCACACAGAGCTGGCACAGGGAAGCCTCTCCATCCCTCAGCTAAGCTCTGGAGTAGCGGGGGGAGGAGGGAAGGGGGAGCGGGGGGGGGGAGAAAAGAGAAAGATTTCCAGCCTGTTCATACCCCGACCCTGCAGGCTCCATAGCAGCTCCCGGGGGAGAGGCTTAGCACCCTCTTCACCTGCACCCCCGGCCCTGTGTCCTGCCCCCAGGGAGCACAGGGCTGCTCTGTCCCCTAGGCATCCTCCCCTGCTTAGTCCCCTCTCTGGCCTGGTTCACTGAAGCCCCTGCAGTCAGGTACCCTGGGCCCTGGTGCACAATGCATCCTTAGGGCTTAACCCCTTCCTGCCCATACTGTAGCTGGAAGCAGCTGGGTTACGTCACTGGCCATCAACAGCCTGGAGATGTTAGCTGCCTTTCGATACTGTGTGGACAGGAAGGTACAAGCTGCTTCTAGCCACATGGGGGAGGTGTAGGGAGAAGAGATGAGTTCTGCAAAGACATGGTCCAAATCATCCCACTCCCCACCCCCACCCTGTGTCTGGAAGCAGCTCCCATTCCTTCCCTCCCGCACAGTGACAAAAGGCTGCTACAGGCCCCATTCTGGGGGGCGGGGGAATGTGACCCTGAGTGCCCCCCCATGTGTTGCCTTGGGAAGACGCAGTGCCAGGTACAAGGAGAGGCGGGTCAATCCTGGGGGCCCAGCCAGGCATGGAGGGCAGAGAGGCCAGGAAGGTAGGGTTATAGGAGGGGTATAGGAGTGTGTGTGTGTGTGTCACTCTCCCCATATGAACCCTAAAGTCTTAAAGATAAGAAAGTAAATAAAAAGAATCCAACTACGCAGTATTTCTTTTTACCAGGGGCTTAGTCAACTTGATGTTAATTTGAACTTTTGTACTGCATAGTTCTGTTTGATTGCCATTGAACTTGCCTGAATACAAGTAATTTTACCAGTTGTCCCATATTCAGCATAGGGAAATATGGTCACCTGACCCAAGTCCTTAATCTTATCAAGCTTCTAGGAACTAGAAAATTACTGCAAAAAAACCCCAAAATCCTATGAACAAGAATAAAAACTTTTCAGAAAAGTTTGGAAAATACATCATCAAGGAGAAGAAGACAGCAGAAGCTCTGACTTGGATCTTGCGGTGGTAAGAAGCAACTGGAGATGCAGTCAGTCCACCCCACCCTTTATTGCCTCAGGCAAGACCACAAGGCAATGTAAGGGTGCATACCCTTTGAAAAGCTCCAGGTGCACAGCTTATGCACATTACCTTTAGTGAAATACAACAGGGACCATCGCTCAAAGAAGAGCCCAGTGTGGTGACTAACGAGGAGACAGGGACACTGACTGCTGCACTCCACTTACAGAGGAGACCTTGGCCTCATGCCCTGTAGCAAGGCGCCAGAAGCACAGACGCAGCACGTCCAATGCCTCTGTCTGCACAGGGTCCCTCTCCCACCAGCTCACTAACCCAGTGGAGGACCCTGCAGACAATTCTACTGCCTCCTGCTGCCTCCTCTAGTTTTGGAAAGAGCTAAGACTACAGTGGTGCTCACAGCCTGGACAAGATGCATGGAATCACACCTGGCCATCGCCTGTGAAAGCAAGGTCAGAGCCTTGTCATCCGGGGCCTGGAGCCATTCTGCTTAGTGCAGGCCAGCTACTCCTAGCAGCTTGTCATTAAGGGGGGAGTGCTGACACTGAGCTGGTGTGTAGCAATGGGACAGTCAGCGTGTAGGTCTGCCACCTCGCTACCTTCCCAGTAGCCTGAAATGGAGCTTACAGCAGGGGAACTGAGCTGAGCGCCGCAACAACACAACTACTGCCAGGTCCCAAAGCATGGCCACAAGCATATACAAAGCTGCCAATTTCCCCATCTCCAGGGTGTGGACTCCCAGCCTCAAGGGTTGCACCTGAGTATGGAACCTGACCCCAGTGCCTCCCCCAAAGGCTGGTGCAGTGTGCATTGTGGCATGGTGCCAGCAGCAGGGGGCCTAGCATTATTACACACTGCTCCCTTGGCCTCCAGAGCCTGCTCAGTCTAGGGAATGAGCCTGGGGCCAGAAGCCAAAGAATTACAACCCCACAGGTCTTCTGGTGGAGGAAGTGTCCCAGTAAATGTCCAGAGGGACAGAGCGCCTTCTGGTAGGAGGTTCCCAGACACTGCCTGCAAACTGATCACAGGGCACTGTCCATGGATCTGGTGCTGACTAACCCCATCAGCTTCCAAAGAGCTAGGAACTGCCCTGACCCCAGCCCAGTGCTGGGATGATTTAGAGGAAAGCTTCTAGATAACAAAGCGTCCATGGGGATAAGTACACATCTTCCCTAATTGTGAGCTCAACTGTGAAAAGTGAGTGAAAGTCTCTCAAGGGTCACACCACCTGTCACAATAAACACTGATGGGGAAGGTCCAAAGGGGAGACGGACTGAGTTAATCCTACAGCTATAACAACAAGGACTGTGGTAAGTTCATGCCTGGTGAACAGAGGTGTGGAACCAGAAATCAGTCCAGCTCAACTCACTTCTCATTGTTCCCAAAAGGCCCATTGGTACCATCTTTAATATCACCTAAGAGATTTCAGACAAGGGGGTTTCCCCTCTAAAACCACTCTCTAGCCAAAGGGAAAGGGAACATAGGATGTTGTTACAATTACTTTCCATTTCACATGCATCAGCTGGTTTTCCCTCTTTTCTGTATTGTTAATACAAGATTACAGAGCTATTTGCTGGGGTGTTTGCCCTGGGGCTGAGCAGGCTGAGGTCTCTGGATCCCAAACCTCAGACCTTGTTTAACAGTTTAATGCTGGACTGGGACTGGGTCACGTTAACACTTTCATCCCCATGTAAATTAATACAACAGGTCTAGCCTTCACATTAGGTTGCGCCTCAACCTTGCAAAATGCAATCAGACCCAAGGGTCACATTTTCCAAGCAATCACAGAACTATCACCCCTCTGCAGCCACCGGGCCCGAGACAGCTATCCATGCTGCAGCCAGGGAGTCTCAGAGCTGCCCTGCAGGAAGCAGCTGTCCTGGGACAGGGGCAGAGCAGCTACCTTTCAAAAGTAAGTGGTTCCAAGTCTGTCCCATTCCTTGCAACTCCCCTGCAGGTTCTGCTCTCCACCACCAGCTCTGAAGGGAAGGGCTCGGGGCTTAACCTGCTCCCTGTCCAAAAACACTGCCCTTCCCAGCAGGGATCAATCATTCCTGCAAACGTTCACTGCAGCCCCTTGGTCCTGTATCTTTCAGCCGCCTGAATCAATAGGGCAACAGCAAAGGCAGGTGATGTCAAGCTCCGAACCTTGGCAGCCTCACGCTGGGTCTCCAGGAAGGATTTACAGAAAGGCTCTGCAGCAGACAGCAGTTAATGACCCTAGTTCAACTCCCCTCCCCAGAAGTAAAGCCAAATCACCAGCTGGCAGTGTGCCAGGGAGCACCAGCCAGGACAGACAGGTCCCAACTCGTTTTCATGGCGAGTGGTGGATTGCACAGAGCCTGCTCAGCAAGCACAGAAACATGCCACGCTGCCACCAAGGCAGCTCTCCAAGGCCAGGCAAGTAGCACGCTGGCCTGATGGGCGGGTAAATGCTGAGACAGATTAAGGGGAACCTTTTAAACCCCTCTGAACCAGAATGGCATTAATGCCCCCATTGCCTGTGACCCACAGGCCCCACCTTAGCAGCTCCAGCCACCCAGTGCTCTTTGGCAAATGCACCAGGAACAGGTGCTCTGTTTCCTGAGTAGCTGCCTCTGGTCTCCAGCAGGGCCACCTGGGGGATGGGATGCTGCCAGCTGGCAAAAGAGGGGCTCATGGGTATGGCAGTGAAGCCAGTGCTGGTTCCCATGTGCAGGGTTATATGTGCTGCTCCTCGATTCCTGGGTGTAGCCAAGGGGGACAGTTCCTGCTCCCCAGCCTCGTAGGCTGGGTGTGCTGGGGCAGCCCACCAAAGGAAATGCTTTCCCGTCTCTTCCCTGGGGCTCCCAATGGGACAGGGATGAAGGAGGGGGCTGGGAAGGACAACTGCAGCAGCCTCCTCGTGAGTGCTGAAAGGCGATGCTCTCTGCCAGAGCACAGCATCAGCACAGCGGCTCTGCAGGCAGCTCAAGGTCACATTCAGGAGACACCGATACCTCCTCCTGGCCTGGTATCCTGGCACGGAGTCCTTCACTGGAGTGGCCTTTCCTGCCCAGCCTTCTTCAATTGGCCAGCTGATCTGAGCCTGAGCCCAGGGTCACGCTGCTGGGTTTGTGAGATCCACAGCACAGCCCTGCCAGGGGCTCCGCTATGGGCACAGCACCTGCAGATTGCTGCTGCTGCCGCCTGGCCCATGGACCCAGAAGATAATGAAAAGGGGGCAAGTAACCAACCACCCTGCCTGTGGGTGCAGCCTCCACTTGATGGACACTGGCAGCTCGCAAGCACAACTGCAGCAACACCCTGCTGCAGCACTAAGTGCTGACCCTGCCCATTCACCCAGAGCGGCAAGCAGCTCCAGACAGACTCCAACTCTTTGGGGCTGGGGCAGTGGAAAGGATAAGGCACCCTTACCCTCCGTGGTGCTATGGAGCTGATCTTGGTTCGCCGGTCCAGGTGACCCCAGAGCACATGTGCTCAGTTCACAGGCAGCCCTGTACCCTCTGCCCTGGCTCCAAGGCTGGCTCCTAGCATGTTCCCATGCCACGCTGCACATGAGACTGTCAGGGCTGGCACAACAGGACCATGTAACATGGCAACCTCTTGCTCTTTGTGGCTCTGCTTCCAGAGGGTGGAGAAGGTGATGGAGAGGAGGGAATAGCCCAACATGGCTCCTGCCAAGGCAGCCATTACAGGGATCATTCTGCATGGACCCCTTGGCTGACAGGTGCCCATTGAGGGGCCCAATCCATTCAGCATCCTGCCTGGCCCTGGGAGCACTCTGCCTGTGCAGGGCCCAGAGACTCCACCCAGCCTGCCCATTGGCCTTGGAGTCCTCTGTCCTAGTGCCACCTAGCCAAGCCCCTTCAGCCCAGCTCACCAGCCCTTGTCCCTCTCCCCTCAGGCCCTGGTGTGAGCAAGCTCTAAGGCATGCTATCACCCTCCCTCAGCTGGCCACGGCCAGGTCTTGGCACCCATCAGAAGAGGGGACAAAGTCACAGGCTGATCTTAGGTGCTTACACATCTCACACGGCGGTGGTGCTGCATGGACACAGCCCTGTGCACATTCACAGGCTGCTCGGGGTCTGACGACACCCATGTAACGTAACACAGCAGAACCTTCTGCTATCCCTTGTGTGGCAGCAAAGCAGACATCAGGGTGCCCGAGCCTGTGGGCACTGGGGACAGGTGCCTGTGCCCTATCTTTAGGGCACCTCAGGAGGGCATGTGTGCAGAGAGCTCCCCGCCATGCTGACACCCCAAGGGGAAGCTCCCCCTTGCTGTGAGCTAACAGCCCTCACACCTAGGAGCTGCAGCAGCAGCCAAATTAGCTATTTGCTGCCCTAAAGGAAACCAGTCACCCAGCCTTGATTTCCATGTCTCCAATAAAGCAGCCCAGTTTGTCAGCATTGCACTCTTGCACCTGATGCGCTGCACTGCTTTCGCCTGCCCTAGCCAGCCTCTGCTCACAGCTAGTGCCCGTCACTGCAGAGGGGCAGGGGCACTCACACACAGCACCCTCCTGGCCACCCCCCACGTGCAGGAGAGAGGTAGCCCCATCACAAGCACTCCCAGCCCACCGGCCCCTTCTGTCCCCTTGCCCCCAGTGCAGAGAGCTGACAGGCAATGGGAGGTGCCAGGCCGGGCAGCATGAAAGGACAGGTTCTTCTCCCACCACCTAATCCAGGAATGAGCAAGGGAAGCAAGACACACGATTGACCAAAGAGAGCAGGGGGTAGGTGATTTAAAAGGCCACAAGCCACACTGGTCTCATCAAAATCTGAACTCTATCGTCTGCAAATTCAGGTCCATTTCTCTCTCTCCCCACTCTGCCCTCCAAAACAGGACCCTCCCCTTCCCCACCTCAGACACGCCAACATGCTTCAATTCTCTCTCCAGGGACAAGGCGAATGCCACGGCCCGGGCCCAGCCCTACAGCAGCAAACCACCCTCCACGTGCCATGGGGAGAATGAGAAGTGGGATTTCAGGAGGGAACAAGGGGCTCGCTGTTTGCGGGCCCCAAGCAGCAGAGAGAGGTCTGTTTTGAAAGCCAGGGCTGGAGCTAGGAGAGGGCCCATGCCCCCAGCACAGACCAAGGCAGGGCGGTTGGAACAGAGCAGGAAGAACACACAATGCAGGAGGCTGCTCTGTGGAGCAGTCACCAACAAGCTGATTCAAAGGCCGGGGCTTCCAGTGGCTGCTCACAATTAGGGTCTGCAGCCGGCCCAAGCCCTTCCTGAGGCAAACTCAGACATGCAACACACCTCTATGCTAATTAGGGGAAACAGCTGCCAAGCCTCCTGCTCTGTTCTGCTGTCCCTGGGGAGGGTGCAGCACAAAGGATATCCTGGCTGCTCCCTTGATCCCAGCATGCGACAGAGAGCGGCCTATGCTCAGTAGCCATGTCTGCCAGAGGACAGCAGTCCCTGCGGCTGGAGGCAGAGTGGGGACTGTTTCAAAACAGCACCAGGGGCCTCACTCACCACATCAAAGGCACAGGGAGCTGGACTGCATGCACCATGTAGGAAACCTCCCCGCCAGCTTTGTCTGGCATGTAGGCTTCCACATGACAGACAGCTGGGGCTAGAGGACTAGGCAGAGTGCTGGGGTCTAGTCCTGAGACCACCACAGACAGAGATTGGGGGTAAGTCACGCCACACCTCCGTGCCTCAGTTTCCCCATCAGTGAACTGGTGGGGACACTGAATCCCCTCCCAGGGCGACAGCAGAGCACTGGACTGGCAGTGCCATTCTGTCCCTCACTCTGCCACTGACTTGCTGTGAACTTGGGCAAGTCCCTTCCCCTTTGGAGTGCCCATTCCCCATCCCACTGTTCTTGCAGCGCCTAACACGCGGGGGAGGCACCCCACAGCAAGGAGCAGTGGCCCCTGGGAATTGGTGAGCACCAAGCATTGCCTGGGCCCCAAGACTAGCAGCGGAGACTTCCCGTGGCAGTTGGCCGCTCTGCTCCCCACCACTTCCCCTTGGAAATAAAATCTCCCGCTGCAGCTTCTGCAATCGCTCAGTGCTTCGCAACAGCCTTCGCAGGGCTGTGCTGCCCACTAGTGATACGATGGGGGAACAACGCGCCATTCAGAAATTTCCTCCTTCCTCCACCCCCCCCGACTCCCTCCTACGCGAACCAATCGGCTTGCCCCTGCCCGCCAGGCGCCGCCCCCATGCTTGCCGGCTGCTGGTAAATAGCGGCCGCAGCAGCGGGCGGGCGTGACTCCGCCAGGACTCCGGGAAGGGCTCTGCCAGGGCACGACCCAGCCCCCGCTCACTCCTCGGTTGTTCCGCAGCTGGGCTCCCGGCCGGGGCGTGCCACAGGGCTCAGCCAGGAGGCGAGCACTGACTCATGGAAACTTTGGGCTCCAGGGACCCCGGCTCAGAGGCAGGGACTCGGATGTTCTCAGGAGGTGCCAGCAGTCCCGAAGCCAGACCCTGGCCTGCATCTGCCCCTCTGCCAGGACCCCTAGAGCCAGCCAGGGTCCATGAGAGGCTGCCCTAATCCCCAGTGCAGCAGGACAGAGCTGGGCTGTTTTTCTTTAACTCTTTTCAAGCCTTGGACCTTTCCTTGGGACTCGTCTCCTACCTGTGTGTCCTGGACTATTACAGGATTGCCTGGCGGCCGAGAACACCCAAAGCTCTCCTTGCAGAGCAGTGCTTCCCGGTTAACTGACGCTGCAGCATGCTCACTCTAACGGTGCCTGGTGAGCCTTTGCTCAGGCCAGACTTACCCTAGGATAGTGCCTCTCCATGCTGCTGGGTGCTCAGCAGGACCTTACGGCCACATGATGAATGCACAGGCATTGGCCCACACTCTCTGGAAATGCCTGGGAAAGCTGCTGGTGATCCTAGAGTTGTCTGTTCTAGGCAACTTCTTAAACACATCGGCCATCCCCCACAGATGCCCCCTTGTCTGCATATGTACCTCGGACCTTCTGAGCTGTGCCAAGCAAGGTCTCCAGCAGGTGCCAGTTGCACTTCCGCCCACAGCTACCACCTTAGATCTCAGCCACAACGCCCTCTTCCAGCTTCACAACCATTGGCTGGCAGCCCTACCACGCCTCCAGGCCCTCCGCATCAGTCACAATCGAATCATGGACCTCTCGCCTCAAGCGTTCCACAATGCCACAGACTTGAGACACCTAGACATGTCCTCCAATTACCTGCATGCCATCGAGAAGCACTACTTTGAAGCACTGGTGCACCTCGAGGAGCTCCTGCTCTACAACAACTGGATTGTACAGGTAGATGAACAAGCCTTCCTCAGGCTAAGCAGCTTGCAGAAGGTCTACCTAAGTTGGAATAACCTAACCCGATTCCCCTTCAGCTCCATGCAGGGGCTTAGCCACCCTAACCTAACGACCCTGGACCTCTCCACCAATAACCTGAACAGAATCCCAATTGAGGAGGTCACAGCCTTGCCTGTGTACATCAGAAATGGCTTGTACCTGCACAACAATCCAGTGAGGTGTGATTGCTCGCTCTACCAGATGTTCAAGCAGTGGCAGCAGCGGCACCTCAGCTCAGTGCAGGATTTCCTAGAGGAACACACATGTATGGTGTTTGACAACACGGCACGATCCTTAGTCAGGTTCCTCAAGTACAACAAGATCTTTGAGAATTGCTCCCTGAGCCAGGGCTCACCTGGCACCTCAGACGTGCATGCCACGGTGCTCGTAGGAGAGACTCTGCTAATCAACTGCAACACGAGCACGCACGACACATTTGCCACCTACATGTGGATCTCGCCCCGCCACGAGCCCATCATGCACCCTGGAAATAGCAATCGCACACTTAAAGTTTACCACAATGGGAGCCTGAAGATCATCGCAGCCAAGCCTTGGCACTCTGGGGTGTATGTGTGCATGGCTATTGGCAAGCACCACCAGCTCAACAAGACGCACGAGGTCAACGTGACCATCCACTATCCCATGCTGGATGGGGAGTCTTTCAGCACCGGCCTCACAACCCTCCTCGGGTGCATAGTGAGCCTTGTGCTAGTTCTCATGTACTTGTACCTCACTCCGTGCCACTGCTTCCAGTGCTGCAAGAAAGTCGCTGCTCCTAGCCCTCCCCAGGAATGCAGCGCTCAATCCTCCATCCTGAGTACCACCCCCCCAGCCAGGCCCAGCCGGAAGATCAGCACCAGCAAGCACGTGGTGTTCCTTGAGCCCATCAAGGAAGTGCACAATGGTAAGATCAGGCTGGCTGCCAACAAGGACGTCACTGACACCAAGAATCCCAAGCTCCTGCAGCTCAAGTTGGACTCAGAATCCGTTAGTTCCATCTTCTCAGACACTCCCATCACGTCCTAGGAGGTAGGCGGGCTGGGGAGCAGAAATGGGCGGGGGGAAGCACCAGTCTCCCAGGAGATGAAATTGGTGTGTGTTGGGTCGCTAGCAGCCACCGCTGGGGAGGGAGAAAGGGGCACCATGCTGAGATGCAATCTGCCGTGCAGAAGAGCTGCATTTTCTTGTACTTGTTACTCCTAGAGGGAGGATTATGATGCATCCTTATAAGGCTCCAGCTACTTCCAGGCTCCACTGCCACATTGTAAAACAACCCAGGGGAGAGAGAAGATAAGAATAGCCCCCATGATTGCAGTCTGATGGCCTCGGCCTCTCCTCTTCATTGTGGTTAAAGGCAGGCAGGTCACCCCAAAAACAAAGCTTAGCTTTTATGAGATCAAATGCTCTTTGAAGGATCACAAGTGACTGCATCCTGTTCTGCACCACCCAGACAATATGGTGTAGCAGAGGGTTCTCCTCACTTTAGATTGTTGTCAATGGAACAGGGACAATTTTTTCCGAGTGCTGTCCAGTGGCTGATTCAAGAGAAGCCCATTGGGTAGCTCCTGGCTCTATTGAGCAGCCTGTCTAGCTAGGACTGCAGCTTTGACCTTCGGGATGATGCACATTGGCTAATTAACATCCTTACAGATTTGTCTTTCCAGAACGCCCTAGCGGTGGCACAAGACTGGGCAACCCTTCTGCCTCCCACCTCTCTCTCACCCCCCCCCCTTCACATGTCTAACACTGGACGCAGGGAAACATGCATGGCTGAGCCCTCCACTTCCAACCAGTCCTAGACTTCCTTGAATAGTGCACTGCAGGGTTTAGCACTCTCCTGGGCAAGGCTGAGCCCAACTTGACCACTTGCCCTCTAGGCATGTACAGAGAGCACCGTAAGTGCTGGAGACTGTCAGCTAGACTTTTGCTTGACCTAGCTTAGTGAGTTGTTTGCTTTAATTACAAAGCCACATGGCCAGCCCAGTGTACTGGGCTTCTTTACTAGTGAGAACTCTTCTCCAGCCTATAGTCTCCAATAGCACTAGGGCACCTGCATTGCTACACTAGAATTCTGCTAGCTCAGGACAGTAGCAGCAGCAAACAAGTCAGTACAGACTATATGCCCTAGAGAAGGAGAGCAGCATGCGCCATCCCCAGAGCACAGGGGTAAGGAGAACATTCTCCTGGCACAGGCTGATGCTGCCTACTACATACAACTAACCCACTGCCAGCTCCTTCAACCAGCTGGCCCTAGAATTAGGGAAGTGCTGCCTAGTTTGTGTGTGGTCTTAGTGAGGAGGGGAATTTCACTGGGATCTTCACTGGACAAAGCCATTCAGTGAAGTAAACAATGCAATTACTCCCCTCCTCTGCTACACACAAGCAGCTGTAAGCAGTTGAGTTCAGAAATGTAATAGATTGTGATTGCACATAGTGTGATATTAATGACCCAACCCTGCACTGCTCCATGCTCCCCCTGTAACAGAAGGAGCAGTTCCTACATGCACCATCATCTCCCTGGGCGCTCTCTCCTTGAGCAGGGCAGACCTGCTGCTAGGCTGTTTAGATAATAACCCAATAGTGTATCCAGGATTGGGACTAAAACTCTCTCTCACTTTCTTGCACCATAAATTCTCTAGTTACATTGAAATAAAAAATGCCTATTTTTTTTTTAAACTCAACTTGGTCCAAGAGTCTCTTTGCCCTTGTGTGGGGCCTGGAATGGAGCCCACCTCAGCCTGTCCCCACCGCCCCTGGTATCTGTCAGCAGGACAAACCTCTCTACCCAGGACCACTGCCCACGTCCTGTCCTAACAGAGGGGGCTGGCATTCCTGCTGCCCCTGCACAGGGGGCCAGGCCATTGCTCCCTGACAGCAGCCTCAGCATCTGGCCAGGTGCTGCCATCAGACGAGATTTAGGTTTGCCTCCAAGTGGCAGGGGTGTCAGTGGGCAAAGCCAAAGCTGTTCAAAAGGGAGCCTGCTGCACGAGCAGCACACAGACAGGCGCCAACCAGGTTAACAGAGCATGGCTCTGCAGAGCAGGCAGGAGCAGGGGCAGTAGGTGAATGGGAACCCTGCTGCACTGGCCAGTCCTAGGAGGTTGCATGGAGAGTTACGCAGAGCCGGAACAGCCTTCTCCACAACAGGCTCCAGCAGCCTCTCTCTCCATGGACTTTGATGGCACACCCAGGCATTCAGCGAGCTGCATTAAATGCCCATGCAGAAGTGCCACAGCCTGGCACAGCTAACAGGCTGTGAACCAAGCACCTGTCAGTGGCTTAGCCTGTGCTGGATGCAGGCACCCTGGTGCTGCAGGCACAGGAGCCAGTGCTGGCCTGCCCGGCACATGCCTGGGCACCCAGCTGAGAGAAGCAGCAGCACATCCTGCAGAGTAACTGCAAACAGCTCAAGCCGGCTGGTCCCAGCAGGGGTCAGCCTGGCCCTGGGGAGAAGCTAATGGAGCTGTGTCTGGGAGCAGCATGAGGGATGGACTCCCACTGCCCCAGAATGCCCCACACACAGTGCTGGCTCACAGATCTGCTCCCAGCCTTGTCCCTCCCTAGACATGGGATCTGGCTCTGAACTCAGGAGCAGCACAGCCACTGGGGGTGGGCAGGGGAGAGCTCTTGGTCAGGTGCATGATGGTGGTGAGGGATCCCTCACATAGAAACTGCCAGCCTGGGGATTGTAACAGCTCCACCACTGAACACAAACACCCAGATCTCAAGCAGCTCTGCACCACTTCACACCCCACCCTCGCCTGCTGGGCTCTGGTGCCCAGCCCCAAGATCTCAGTCCAGCTCCACGAGGGTCTGGACTTGCACTGAGCAGACTCAGCCACTCTCTGCAGAGCTGGGAGAGTACCTGAGGCAGAAGCCCATGGGGGGGTAAGGGGCGGAGGAGGTACACACTGCAGCCCCCTTCGTGGGAATACAGCCTCTGAGCTGCCAACCCCAGTTCTCACCCGCCTGCCGCCTCTGCAGGAGGGGAGCTCCCACATCACAGAGCCTAGGGGGCTGAGCGGGCCTAGGAGTGCCCCCCAGCTCCCTCTGCTCCAGCCCCAGGAGAGCAGTGCCACCGCCCCCCTAGGGACCAACAAACACAATCCAACCACTTCACTCTCCTCAATGCCCCCACCCCACCACCCTGAGCCCCCTGCCCCATTGCTCCCCCACAACACTACCCTGAGCCCCCTGTCCCCAACACCCCCCACTTCATCCCTCCACAAAATTCCCAACCCCCTTCAACACCACCTTGAGCCCCCCATCTCCCCTCAACAGCCTGAGCTCCCTGCCCCATCACTCCCCCAACATCCTCTGCCCCATCCCCCCACAATATCCCCATCCCCCTACAATTCCACCCTGAGCCCGCTACCCCATCCCCTATCCCACCCTGTGCCCCCTGACCTATTGCTCCACAACCCCCCCAGCACCCCATCCCTCTTCATCACCCCATGCTCCCTGCCCTATCCTTCCCCCCCAACACCCTGCACCTCATCCCTCCCCAATGCCCTGAGCCCCCCATCCCTCCACAACGCATAACTCCCCCCCCCTCCCCGCATACCCACCCACGCACGCACAGCCTTAGGGCAAAGACACTCGAGCAGGCCTCCCAGTGTGCTGGCTCCCCCATGCCCCACCCACAGCAGCTTGTGGGCCACAGGGCCAGTTACATTCCAGCTTCTCCAGCTGCAGAGCGCTCTGGCACCTGGCATAGGTGCCCTGAGCTGCCACCCGTCCCCCACGGGCAGGCCACCCCCTATCCCCAAGTCCTGCCTGTCTACGCTGCTTCCCAAGCAGCACGCTAACCCGGAGCCCAGCCCCCTCATGCTGGGGAAGTGTCCCCAGGGGACTCTCTCCGGGGTTCACATTCACAGCCTGCCATGTCAACAAGCCTCATCCCTTGCTGGGTGCAAAACACCCCATCCTGCTCTGGATCCCAGACGCCTTCTGGGAGCTGTGTCCAGGACGTGACAAGCTACATGAGCCTGAACGCCTGCTTCCCGCACCCAAGGGCCCTGTCTGGTCTCATTAGCGCTCTGCTGCTGCTGGCTAACAGGCTCGTCCCCACACACACAGCTGGCCGGAGGTGTGCGCACACGGATGCTGCATGAAAGACAGCCACGGTGTCAGCGGCTCTCAGTGCCAGCACACGCAGCAGGGGCAATGGTCAAATGTGGGCATGCAGCACAGACCCTCAGGAGAGCTAGGGGGCCTCACCTCCACTCCAGCCAGAGCTGGGGAAAGGGGCAGTCATAGAATCATAGAATATCAGGGTTGGAAGGGACCTCAGGAGGTCATTTAGTCCAACTCCCTGCTCAAAGCAGGACCAATCCCCAACTAAATCATCCCAGCCAGGGCTTTGTCAAGCCTGACCTTAAAAACCTCTAAGGAAGGAGATTCCACCCCCTCCCTAGGTAACCCATTCCAGTGCTTCACCACACTCCTACTGAAAAAGTTTTTCCTAATATCCAACCTAAACCTCCCCCACTGCAACTTGAGACCATTACTCCTGCACACGGGCAGGGAGCGCACAGAGGTTGTACTGTCCCTGGGGCTCTCATGTTCGGGGGAGGGGATTTTCACTCACCCCAGCACCCAGAAGCCTTTCCACCCCTGTGTGTTTCAGGTGCCCAGCCGTAACTCCTGCTCTGAGTGCCTGGCAGGGGGTGCTGCAGGGCCCTAGAGGGGTGTAGACAGCAAGGCTGGGTTCATGCCTGTAGCCTTTGTGGAGCTTTGCGCAGGAATCAGCCGGTTACTAACGTCCGGCAGCATCTTGCACAGCACTCAGCCTCTTCCCTGACAGTCCATTCAGCCTCACCCCAGCAGCCCAACGGGACGGATGGAGACACTGAAGCAGAGACTTGGTTAACTGCAGCAACTCCACGGCAGAGCCAGGAACAAAACCTAGCGCCCTCCCCGCACAGCCATCCTGCTTGCTCCAGGGAAGTAAACAGACCAACAGCAGCAACCAGACCCCAGAAGGAGTGGGAAATCTCTGCTAGGATTCCTCCCCCACTGATTTCTAAACTCGACACCTCCCATCTCCACTTAGAATGCCCATGCACCAGGCAGCATGGAGGAGCTCAGGTGCTCCTGCACCTCCACCCCCCACAGTAGACACAGGGAGACCCGGGATGCAGCTCAGTCTCACTCTGACCACCGACTCATTTTACAGTTGCTCTAGGTCTGTCGACACAGCGTCAGGGAGGTGCCAGTGGGTGCTCTGCACCCACCAATTTTTCTCCGTGGGTGCTCCAGCCGTGGAGCACCCACGGAGTTGGCACCTATGGGCTGGAGCCCAGGCTATGGGACCCTCCCCCAGCAGGGTCCCAGAGCCCAGGCTCCCATCCAAGCCCGCATGTCTACACCACTGTTTTGCAGCCCAAGCCCCAGTCAGATGTAGACAGACCGTTTTCTCATGAGAAGGCAGTGGGCAGCTAGGGGATGGGCACAGCACATGGCAGGGAGGCAGGTTGCAGGAAGGGAGTAGCAACATGAGGGGTACATGTGTGCTGGGATCAGCTGCCCCTTGCTCACAGCTATACCAACATTAGCTACCTCCCTACAATGAGCTATTATTCATGGACCCCCTCACACCCCAACGGGCACTCATCAAAGAGATGGGCCATGCCATGACCAAGTGTGGGAAGCTCTGGTCTGAGCGGGGCCGCCACCCTGAGAGCTTTGCTTGGGGGAAGCCAGCTGTGTGCCCGTGCACTATCATACAGAAAGGTCTAAGGCCGAGGCTAAATCCTTCCCAGGGCACTGGGGCACAGGCTAGCCTCAGCATCCATCCCCTTCTGGAAACAATCCCAGGGCACGCCTGGGGCACGAGTTGGCCAGTCAGAACGGTGGCACAGGACTGCATGCAACCAGGGGATGAATGCTCTGGGAGGAGCCGAGGGCAGCCTGGATGCAGGGCATGGTCCGGGAGGAGCTGCTTCCAGCGCTGTGGGCCAAGGCAGGGGCCAAGCTCACACTAGTCCCTGCTGCCGTGCTCAGTGCAATGGCCAGCACAGCCCAGCATTGACGGCCAAGTCCTGGCAGAAAGGCTCTTATGCTATGTCAGTCAGACATGGTGCCCACCTGGGTCCAGCACAAGGGGTGGGAGGATCTGCCAGGGCAGCCAGGAGAGCAGACTAGGAGAGCAAGAATCCCACAGCAGACGCCCTCTCCCTACTCCCAGCACAGTGCCCAGGCGACATGTCTTAGTCCTGACTGTTCTGTTGCGGGGAGGGGGGAGGAGAGTGCTTTGCAGTTCCGTGGGGTAGAGAGGACTCACCCTGCCTCCTGCCCAACAAGGCTTTGCTCTGGTTTGTGCTTTCCCTGTGCTCTGATCTCCCTGGTGCTGCTGGAGGTCTCCTTGGAGGAGCAGAGAACTGAGGTGGGAGTCCCCGGAGCCTATGCGTGGAGACAGCTGCCTCCCAGGCAGTGGAGTTAAATGGGTGAGAAGAACCCAGACAAGAATCCCTCCTCCTCTCCAGTAATGTGATCTCATTGCCTGTCCCCCACCCCACCCAGCTGGGCAGAGCAGGGCCAGGCCAGCCATGGAAGAAATAAGGAGACCAAGGTTGTTTCAATCACACACACACCCATCAGGCCAGCCTCCCACATCACAGGCCCCTTGCATTATGGGCGCATCAGCTTTAATTCTCTGACCAGGCGCTTCCCTCAGCGT